TACTACTGCTACTACTACGACTACTATTACTACTACTACTACTACTACTACTACTACTACTACTACTACTGCTACTGCTACTGGTACTACTACTACTGCTATTAGTACTACTACTACTACTACTGCTGCTGCTACTACTACTACTACTACTACTACTACTTCTACGACTACGACTACGACTACGACTACGACGACTACTACTACTACTACTACTACTACTACTACTAGTAGTGCTGGTAATCTTCATCACCATGATAATCAAACTAAAGTTATAATCTACATATGAAAAATAGTACCACTATTTTTGATCGTGGTTGAGCCCAGGAACCGCTGACCACTTCTCGGGCGTTGTGAGTTCGAGGTGTCTTCTCGACATCCTGTGCAGATCTCGTGTAGAAGCTGTTTGAAGCAGCAACCTGGCAAGAAGGCATGTAGGAGGTGGGTTCTAGTGGGCCTTCGATATACCTATTCAACAGGTGTTTTCGTTTTTAGAATGGGGCATTCACTTCAATTTTGCAACAGTCGGTTAGAGCCCAGGCTTAAGCACTGCCCCAGCTACAAGAGAGCCTCGGATGGCAGCTGCCCCTGAAACGATGGCCGGCGGCTGCTGGCTTTGGCAGCTGCCGGGGTACTGTCGACCTGCTTCGCGCCCACCTCCGCATCGCATTGGAGAAAACGGCTTAGCCATTAGGGTTTAGGGTTTTAGTCGTAGTGCTTAGGGACTTAAGGTTAGGTCAGGCCTTGAGATTTAGAGCTTCGGCGCTACATTCGCACAGTCCAGCCGAGGCATGTGGTCTGAAGTCGGTGTCGTGAAATACACCCTAAACCCTAAACCACTATCTTGAGAAAACTCAGGCGGACATGACGAGGTATGGGGGAGGCGACAACAACAAGCCCCCAACAAAGTAATCTTTAGGGTTTATAGGGTATAGGGTATAGGGTTTAGGGTTTAGGGTACCTGGCGACGGAAGGCCGCGCTGCAAAAGGGATTAGATAGGCTTGTGTAGGTCGAAGCCTTGCTATCCCGTTCGGTGCAACTGCATCTGTCTGAAAACAAGCCGAAGCCACGGTCAGACGAGAACATCCGATCATCTCAGCGCAGACACTTATCATTCATGTGTAAAGAGGCTGACCCATCGATGCGAACAACAATGTACTTCGGCAACATGCGGCTTATCTCTGCATGTCCGAAAGCTCAAACGTAGAATAGCCGTACTTCTTGTGGTTGCCCTTGTAGCTCAAGGCTATTGCAAGGCGCAGCGCGACCGCTCTGGCGGTGGGTCTGGGGCAAGTACGGGTTCTCTGCGAAACGGTGTCAGATCGAGTTCCAGCTTGTCCATCACAGAAAGCAGGGTGTGCTGAAGAACCGCTTCTACACTCTCGTGATCTTTGGCAGAAGCCTCGAAGTACCACAGGCCCCTGGCCCAAGCGAAAGCCTCGGCCGCTTCACTGGTTCCAAAACGAGCAACATCCGCCTTGTTGCCGACCATCACTCTCTCCAAGACAGCTTCCGATGCGGACAAGTCGAGCAAGTGCTGAATCTCATGAAGATGCAGTCTCTCCAGGTCCGCCACGAAGATGATGGCGGCCATGCGCCGAAACATGGTAGGATTCAGCACAGGATTCGAAGCATTGTGAATTCCATGTAGGTCCCAGAGGAGAAGCTTCACGGGAACCATGTTCTCCGCCTGGCCCTTCGCGACCCGGAGGTGCGCAACCCTGAAGTCCACGGAAATGACGCTCTGAAAGCGCTCGGCATGGAAACGGTGATCCACAAACTGGTTCAAGAAGCTTGTTTTGCCAGCCCCCTGCTGCCCGCAAATGCCAATATCAAGTTTTTGGAAGTCAGAGGTCTGCTCGTCAATGCGCTCCACAGGCCGGGCCTGTTGCAGCTGTAGGAGCTGCAGATCCACCTGAAAGGGAGGGCCCGGAAGGCCCAAGGAAACCAAGGTCTCCCGCATCTCGAGCGGCCGATCTTGGAAAAGCAGCTGCAGCCGAGTCTTTGGGTCGCAGCCGAGGGAACCACGGGCCCTTTGCAGCACCTCACTGATGGAGGCAGCAGGTGGAAGCTCGAACTCTGCGAAGGACGATCCAGAGAGTTGTAGCAAGCGGACGGTGTACATTGTGATGGGGTGCCCTTAAGCCCGGAATTACACGGTATGGCTTACAACCTCGAAACAAAGCCCATTAAAAACCCTCAACTCTTAATCTTTATTGTCTGCCGTGTATGCTCGATGTGATTGCCGCACCAGAAGTGACAAGTGCGGCAAGGAACTGCGACTTTGTTTAGCTTCTAAACTCGCGATGACAGCCCTCGATGTTAAACATCTGCTTAGCGCGTAAAGGGGCCGATCTTGATCCACAGCTTCTGCCAACATGCTTTGTTGTTGCAGCAGTAACAGAGCCAAGATAGGTAAAATAACTAATTTGTTTATAGGGGAAAAAATATTTTTTCCCCTATAATATGTTTAGTAGCAGAGCCAAGATAGGTAAAATAGCTAATCCGACCTGATTTTCCTCGACCTGATCGGAGAGCGCTCGGCAAAGATCTTCTGCACGCGCCAGCGAGTCCGCCACACCTGGTTTAGGGTTTAGCGCTTGGGGTATAGGGTTTAGAACTGGGTTGCAGGGTTTATGACTCGTAGGGAAGGAGTTTAGGGTTTCGGTTACAAGGTATCAGGTATATTCACGTGCATGATCACCGTTGGAACAATGCTGGCCTCAACAGTGAGCCCGTTGCTTGCTTTTCAGCTGGGCACCCCTTCCCTGGCAAAAATTCATCATATCTTTTTGTTGCCAGGCTTAGGCTGAGCTTCCCACCATCCCCTCTCCCGCGGGCCTGAAGCGGGCATCCGCATCAAGCGGAGGCGCTCGCGCTCCTTACTGTCATCTGCGATGGCTGAAACCACACCACTTTAAGAAGCAAACTTGTTGTAGATTCGAGGGGTCTTATCCTCGAAAACGAACTCCGCACATTTTCGGCTGCGGCGCCAGGAGTAAAGCCTCCACCGTAGCCAAGGCGTCGCGATGGATCTGCTCTTGCCAGCGGCTGTCCTCTCGGCAACACGGTTTAAGGCCGAGGGCGCGTGGCAGAAGGGCTTTGCCTCGTTGGGGGGGCTGGGTATGGGGTTCGGATGTGGGCGTGCGGCTTCGGGCTTAGAGTTTCAGGTGCAAGGATGTAGGATGTACAATGCTCTCAGTGTTTAGTGCGAAAACAATTCGTAGTTAAGACTGCCGGGGAAGATAGGATGAGATGTCAGCTGCATTACTCACTTCTCTTTCAGCCTTCGAGGCATTGGTCGTCTACCATCCTTCTCTTTAACCTGGCTTCCCTGAGACGATCGTTTATGATGACGAAGGATTATGATCTCGTTTTTGCTGTCAATGCTACCTTCATGCTGATTTCATGGGTAGAGCACGATCATTTCTCGTTGTCGGTGATGTCTATCAATTTGGGCTTTAACCAACCGTTCTCTTACCGAAAAAGTTTGATTGTGCCGGCCTTGGGTACGGGCCCCTACCTTCTTGGCAAGGTGGCAGAACTTAGTCGCTGAGTTCATAAGCACCAAAACTGAACTAACAGTTCTATAGGGGATGATCGTATCCAGAAAGCGTAAAATGCACTCGAGAATATAGGGCCGGGTTGCTATCTACTAAGTTGAAGGATTTCAGAACATGAGTCGACTACCGACTTCAGGCAGGGCCGCTCATCGTTCCGAAGCTACCCAATGTGTTTTTTGCTATACATCGTTGTGTAAAGTAGACTAATGTAGGGGCCTCAATAATCAGAGAAGGGTTTTGGGGTACATTAGACTAGAAGTATAATGCAAAATAAGGAACCACCCAAATAGTATTGGTAGTTATTTAGGCCCCTATATTACCCAATCTGGGTTTTGCTGTTTTGCTGTACATCGTTGTGTAAGGGACTCTTCTTGAGTTGAAGTCTCGGATTTAGGGAGCTGCTCGGGTGGGTTTAGGGTTTCGGGTCGGGTCTCGCTTCGGCGTTCGGGCTTCGGGCTTTAAGTTTGTGTTGTGCATTCGGGGTCTCGAAAGGTTGGAAGTTGGGACGCTTGCGATGTGATGGCGTGACGTATTCCCGCATAGAACCGAACCAAAATGACCCTAAACCCTAAACCCTAAACCCAAAACCCTAACCCAAAACCCTAAACCGTAACCCCAAACCCCAAACTCTAAACCCTAAACCCAAAACCCTAACCCGTAACCCCAAACTCTAAACCCTAAACCCTAAACCCTAAACCCTAAACGACTGTCGAGCCCCAGAGCCCGAACCGTCTACGAACCTGCCAAGGATCAGGTCACAAGTAGGCTTGCCGAAGTCCCCCTCAACAACCGCATGAAACTGGGTTGCTATGAAAGAAATTGAGTTTTAAGTCATCACAATGGGATAAATGAGTAAATACATATATATATATATATATGTATAGATGATAGGGCCTCCTTGTTAGAGTAACTTAACTTAAGTTCCTCGACAGCAACCGTATGAAAGGCCTCACATAGGCGGCCGGCAGAGAAGGCCAGGCTCTCGTCCAGTAGCTGCAGTGGCTCCTTGAAGTGACCGCGAAGTTCGGGGCTCAGTGCGGTTCGGGTTTAGGGTTTAGGGTCGAGGTTTGTCAGGGCATAAGGTTCAGATTGTCAGGAGATGTCTGAGTGTGGGGTTTGACGTTGGCTGACTTTTTTTCTCCGAAATCCTGGAGACTAGACTGGAGTCTGGGTTTTGGCGGGAGCAATTACTCTGGAAAGCCTGGTGGGGGGAAGATATCTTTCCGAGGTGCAGAGCCATCAAGCCGTCACCCTGGGGAATCAGCTGCTACCACTACCACTACTACTGCTACTGCTGCTACTTCTGCTACTACTCTAGAGGATTACGTCGACCTCCGCGCATTGCAAGGAGCAAGGGGCGGTAGGGTGCGTATATGTGCACTTTCTATGGTGACTTGTCTATCGCTGTTACATGCTGCAACTAATCCTTTTGAAGATCACTTTGCTGCAAGCTTACCCTTTTTGAATCCGGGCTTGGGAAGTCGGTGGGGGAAAGTGCAATCTTACCCCAAACCTAAACCCTGAACCCTACTGCTTTCTGTCGACGCCAGTTCAATGTGAGCTGCGGCGTGCGGTGACTGCAGGCGGCGCATCAAGCACGCTTTCCTGGCAAACTCAAAGAGTCGAACACTACTGGGGCCTTAAGAATAGTTGGAATAGGTTTTGGGGTGCAGCATAAGGGGATAATATAGCATAACATCCCTTGGTGAAGGATCTGTCTCTATGCTGCATGTCTCCCTTTCAGGGATATCTTACCAAAGGAATTTTCTTCCCTCCCACCTGGGTCCCTTCAGGGCTCCTTCACCAAAAAATCACATTTGCAGGCTGCTGCCGCCATGTGAAACACCATGAAACCCGGCCGGGTCTATCCATGTTTCTGTTTACAGACAGACTCTCCTGATTCAGGGTTTAGGGTTTAGGGTTTAGGGTTTAGGGCCCTTAACCGAAACCGCAGTTAAGCACTTGGAGCTGAAAGTGGCGAACGGCATGGAGGAGGCTCTTGCATCACTCCTTCAAAGCCCTGGGCCAAAAATCTTGATTATAGGGGCCTAACTGACTATGATTAGATTCTTGGGGTGATGCGGGCACCGAAAGCCTGTCGACGCCGAGCGAAACAAAGGACGACCTATGCATCCGTAGACAATGATACGTGCATTCCTTTATGTAAGTTAAAGATATGGTGACTAGGGCCTATGGAATACTATGAGCAACTATTCCACCAGCTTTCTAGAAACCCTTCTAGAACCCTTCAAGAGCCTGTATCCCTAAAGGTCCCTGACAGAAAACCGCAAGGAAACAGGTGCTTAGGGTTTAAGGTTTATGGAGACCCCAAATAAAACTCCTCATAAAATGACCTGTTCCGAGGCACTGGATCTGAGCTTCGTAAGCATCGCTGGTGGCCTCCTCGACGTAATTTTTCCAGCATGGTAGAACGCTAAGTACCTTATCCTGAACTCCAGAAAATTGAAAAACCGGTTTAAGGACAAATAGTGCTGGGATTCCCGATACATTACTCTTAAGGAGTGAGGCTGTTGGGATGTAAAAAAATAACCGCTGGGCTTCTACTATAAACCCTAATCCGACTTCTGGGTTCCTCCAAAAGGAACCCCTGGAGGGAATCCTGAGGGATACCCGTAAAGAAACACTAGGTCCCTTCCAGGAGCCCTTTTTGTGGAACCTCAGAGACCCCCCTTAAGGGCTCGTGTCGGGGATCCCTGTAGGGGATCCCTTTTAAGGGTCCCCTTTCAGGGTCCCCTTTAAGGGTTCCCTTTAAGGGTTCCTTGTGAGGGTTCCTTGCAAGTCTGCTGAAAGGGTTCCTTCACGGATCCTGGCCGCCAGGGAACCTTTTAAGGGTTCGGTTAACAAATAAATCATGTAGCAGATCTGCTGAACATGAAGTTGAGGTCTTCGGCTCGAGGGTATGTTTGTTTTGGTGTAGCGCGTGGGGCTGTAGGTTGTTGGTTTTGGGGTTCAGTGTTGAGGCTTTAAGTTTGGAGGAGGATCTCTAGACTATCCGGTATCGGTTGCAGCCACTCTGGCTTGGGGCTGAGGGCTTTGAGTTTAAAGTATCACCCTCAAACCCCACAAAGGGCAAAGTTTCGAGGACCATGGTCCATGGCTGGCAATGCACCTCCTGGAAGACTTGACTTCTCTATTTTAAAGCTTTAGGGTTTAGGGTTAAGGGGTTTAGGGGTTTAGGGGTTTAGGGTTTAGGGTTTAGGGTTTAGGGTTTAGGGGCAGGTCCGGGAATGTAAGCCTGCTGCCCAGCTTCGACGGGAGTTCGAAGCTGCTGAGACGGCACAAGCTGTGCGACCACCTCGTGCAGATCGCGAAACTCCGACGTCCAAGTGGCAACAACAGTTGCTCTACTTCATGGAAAGAGGGCATCGCAAGAATGCCCCCACCCTCCCCCCCCCTCCCCCCCGCAAATCCTACACGCAAAAAACTCTCGCTCCAGATCTCTGAAAGCCTCTGCACTAGCATTTTTGCACCAATGCGATCCTTTGTCCATTGACCTCAAACAAACCTGTGCCCCCAAAGCCCTCAAGGAAACAACCCACACCCCAAGCCACAAGCCCGAAAGCAAAAACCCTAGATCACCAAAAGAGCACACGTCACCCGCAGGGAGCGAGGAATTTGGGAGTTCGTCTTCCACAAGCGGCGGGATCGCTACAGTAAAGAATCGACGACACAGTCTCTACACGCTGCACTAGGGTCACTAGAGCGCGCTTGGAAAAAAAAATTGGATTCGGGAGTCAGCTTAGGGTCCGACTGATGAGAGGGAGACACTCCTTCGGGGATCGAAAACGTGTTGCTGCGTTGCTCATTTGGAAAAAATGGCTACGGGCGGATCCCCAATGCAGAAATCTGGGAGTCTCTCACAAAAACCCGAGATACTGGACACTTTTTGCAGCAGGCTTCTGTCAGATACTGAACCCCAAACCCTAAATCCTAAGCCCTAAACCCTAAACCCAAAAGCCCAAACTCCTGAACCCTAAACCCTAGACCCAAGAGCCTAAACTCCTGAACCCTAAACCCTAAACCCAAAAGCCTAAATTCCTGAATCCTGCTTTCCACGTATCTCTCGGGCCTCCGCCTGGGCTGCAAGGAGGCTCCGCAGCTCTCCTAGCGCGAAAATACGGCTTAGGGTCTAGGGTCTGGGGTTTAGGGTTTAGGGTCTAGGGTTTAGGGTCTAGGATATAGGGTCTAGGGTTTAGGGTTTACGGGTTAGGGTCTGGGGTTTAGGGTTTGGGGTCTAGGGTTAAGGATATGAAGTCTAAACCCTGAATCCTACGTTCAGGGTTTACGGCTTTTGGCCTCAACCCTGAACCCCAAACCCCGGAAACCATAAAGTGCGGAGCTGTCGCTTGAAACACGAGAAGGAGACCGGAGATCCAAAGACTCAGAAACTGAGGCACTCTGGCCTCTAGGACTCGGGGCCCCAACCATTAGACTAGAGCAGGGTTCAGGGGTATTCTGTAATATAATTCTGACTAGGAGCCCTTTTGGATAGTGCTGGCAATGATTGAGGCTTCTATGCTACTCCAGGCACCCCTAAGTATAAAAAATAACCTATGTCAGGGTTTAGGGTTTAGGCTCAGAGATCCCGACTAACGTGCCTGGCTCATGAGTCTTTCGAAGGCGATCTGCTCGCCATCGCAGCGACCTCATCGACATTGTCAACGACTTTGGCCAGGGCCGCAAAGAGAAACTCTCTCTGCTTAGAGGCGCAGGGGACTTAGTAAGTAGGTCATACATGGAGTTCTAAGTACCCTAAGTGGAGTTACCCCAATTATAACCCTACTTATCACCGACTTACCAAGTCCCCTGGGCCTCCAAGTCTAGGGCCTAGGGTTTAGGGCATGTCCGATTTCTGGTCAGATCGAAGCAGAAGCCAGGCTAGCAAAAAAGGGTTCAAGACTCGGAAACCCCCCGAAACCGCCTAAACCCTTGAATCTTTAGGGGTTTAGGGTTTAGGGTTTAGGGTCCCCCAAACCGCCTGAACCCCTTGAACCCCTGAACCACGACTGAATGTCATCGAAGCACCATCGGACCTCAAATCTAAGTGCCCTCACACTTAGAACGAAGTTTTTGTGCGGGTATGCTGTAGTGTTGGTACAGAGGGCCTTCAAGGACATATTAACCCTAAACCCTAAAGCCTTCAAGGAAACCCTAAACCCTTTATTATAAGTATATAGGGCCTCTGAGGACATATTAGTCCCAAGCTATTCCTGAGTTTAGAGCAAAAGACTTGGGCAGGCGAGGAGCTGAAGGTTAACAGCTTAGGGTTTAAATTTCAGGGATGAGGTTTGGGATTACATAGGGCTTTGGTTCGGCAGCTTGTTCCACTGCATTGGGAATCTTATGCTGTAGAAACCGCACAGCTACTTGCAGGCCCAGGGGACTTGGTAAGTCGGTTAGAAGTGGGATTACGTACTTAAAACTCTACTTATAACCTGCTTACTAGATCCGCCTGGGCCTCCGAGTAGAATTCTGGATTTGGGGCACCCCAAAACCCTAAACCCAAAACCCAAAACCCTAAACCCTAAACCGTTTCAAACCCTAAAAAGCTAAAAGGGCTACTTACTCGACTACTGCGAGAGAGAAAATGCGTCGGAGGGCTGGTTCTCCGACTCCAGCTGTGTGAGGCGGAGGGCCTCCCGTCACTCTTGGCGTTAAGGCTTTCAGGGGTTTAGGGTTCAGGGTTTAGGGTCGAGGGTTTAGGGTTTAGGGTTTAGGCATTAGGGTTTCGGGTTTCGGGTTTAGGGTTTAGGGCTTAGTCTTGGTGATAGGCTAGGGTTTCAAGTTTAGGGTCTAGGGTCTAGTCACTAGTCTTGGTGATGGGCAAGACTGAAACCCGACAGTTTATAGCTTCGACGCTTGCAGCTAGGCAGGCGAGGCTTGAGATAGGAACTTCCGAAAATAGGGGACCCTAATATAGTACCCTAAGTAGTAGGACCCTTATTATAAGGACCCCAAAATAAGGTACCCCTTATTTTCGGAATCCTATGTAGAGTCGACCTGGGATCCGTGAGCTGAGACTTCGGAGCTGAGGGCTGTGGGTATCGGAGCTCTCTCCCATTGTGGCAGGGCCGGCAGGGCTTCGGATTAGGGTGTAGGGCTTAATGGCTTGTAGGGTTTAGGGGTTTAGGGGTTTCGGTGTTTCGGGTTTAGGGGTTTAGGGTTTAGGGGTTTAGGGGTTTAGGGTTTGGGGGTTTAAGGTTTAGGGTTTGAGGGTTTAGGGCGCGTCCTGTTCCGTTTTGGGGTTTAGGGTTAACAGGCTTCAACTCAGATTTATCGGCGCGCAATGGGTCGGCAAGGACGTCCGGGGAAAGGGCCCTCCCCCCTTTCAGAAACAACCCTCCTAGCTGCTGTTGCTGTTCATGCCACACAGTTCCACCTGAATATCCGAGCACGAGTGGGATCAGGTGGGAACAGGGACAAGGATGCGAACGCAGCGTCAACAACAGAGTAAGCGTCTCCAAACCCTGACTCCAAAATCCGAAAAATCTGAAACAAAAGCCCTCGGCCCTACACCCCCAAGCTCGATCCTAACGGAATCAAACCCCTGTGCGCAGCCAAACCCTAAACCCTAAACCCCGAAAATCCTTGTCTACACAGGCTTGGTTAGTGCTCGCCCCGAACGCCAAACCCTAAAATCCGACAATCCTAGACCCTGTTTTCCACTGGACTCAAGTCTCGAGATTCCTAGACCCCAAACCCTAAACCCTACACACTTAAACCCCAAACCCGTAAACCCTAAACCCGAAAGCCCCAAACCAGTAAACCCTAGACCCCTAAACCCCCAAACCCCAAGCCCCAAAACCCTGAACCCCCAAACTCCTAAACTCTAAACCCCAAACCCCTAAACCCCAAACCCCAAACCCCCAAAGCCCCAACCCTAAACCCCTAGACTCCTAAACCCCTACTAGACCCTTCGTCCTGTTGCTGCAGGATTTCGGCCCAGAGCGAATCGGTGGCTCGGGCCAGGCGGGTCCTTGAAGGAGTCCAAATCCCTTGGGTTCCTACGGTTGCCCGTTAAAGGTTTAGGGTTTTAGGGTTTGGGGCTTAAGGTTCAGGGTTTAGGGTTTGGGGGTTTTTGAGGTGAGGTGTAGGGTTTCAGGGTTTTGGGTTCAGGGTTTTTGCTTTTGGGGCTCGGGGTTTAAGGTATTGGGGTTCAGGGGTTCGGATTTAGGGCTCACCGGGCTTCAAAAGTCAAGAAGCTAAAGTCTACGCTCTCACACTCGGTCTCGCCGGAAGGGGTTCGGTGCCAGATTGAAAGTTTATAGTTTGAGGATTCAGGATTTAGGGGTCTTGGCTGTAGAGAATCAGAACGAGGTTTACCTTCGGAATCCGGTAACCAGGGCGTGCACAACGGCTTCTGAAACAGGGGATGGCTGAGGGTATGGATCATCAAGGGCCAGGATAGGTTGCAAGAAGATACGATCTGCAAAGGAAAGGCACTGCTCAGCTTGAGCACATGGCATACTTTCTCTGTCATGCATGGAAAGCTTCTCAAGCAAATCTTCCCGAGGCTCCCCGCTAAGCCCGAGACCTACAAGCTAAACCCTGAAGCCTCAACACTCAATCTCACCCCCCTAAACCCTAAACCCTCACACCTGGACTACGCATATGCCAGGAACCAACCCTAAACCCTGAACCCTAAACCCAAAAAAAGATGCGATGCACGCGGCACGAAACAGCCTACTGAAGAAGCCTCGGGCCGCTCCGGGTAGAGGGAAAAATGTGGGTATAGGCATAGGGTGTGCTGATCTTGACCAGGGGTTACCGTATGGGAAGTTCTCTAAATTAGGTACCGGTTTTGGTCGAAAGTAGAGTACGGCACCCTTATATGAAGGACCCTAAAACGGACCCTAATTTACAGAACTACCCGTATAGTACAGGCTGCTATAAGTCGGCAAGGGTCTCGAAAGGGGTTACTTTGAGGGATTTTGTGATTTTGGGCTGCAAGGAACAGGATGCCTTGTACGGTTGCTGTTGCTGAGTTGCTCGGAATGCTACCAGTACCGTCTCTTGCGACTTGAAAAAAGTCGGAACTCACTCTTGCTCTAATAATTGTGATCCCCGGCCCTGCTAACAGTTGCAAACATGATTCCCAGGATTTCAACTTGACATCAGCATCACTACCAGTCACTACCAGTGTTGGGGATCAAGTTTAACTGAACAGTCTCTACTTGCTGCTGGAAAAGTTGGCAAGTCCTCTCGGAAAGAAAGACATGGATCAAGGGATGGATATGTGCACTTGGGACATTGTTTGTCGAAGTCGCTCCCAAAACCCCCACCCAGACAAAGCGGAAGCGGCCGAGGAAGCGTTGGTCCCAAACTCTGAGCTCCCAAACTTTAGGGTTTTGGGTTTAGGGGCCCTAAACCCCGAAACCCCCAGACTCTGAACCCCTAAACTCTAGGGTTTTGGGTTTAGGGGCCCCAAACCCCGAAACCCCAACCTCTGAACCCCTAAACTTTAGGGTCTTGGGTTTAAGGGGCCCCAAACCCCTTAACCCCAACCTCTGAACCCCTAAACTTTAGGGTTTTGGGTTCAGGGGCCCTAAACCCCGAAACCCCAAACTCTGAACCCTAAGCCCAGGTCCTGCTTTCCTCGGGCCGCTCCCCCTCACCGTCTGCCTCCGAACCCTGCGCCTTCAATGGGACGGAAGCGAGGTCTTGGAGCAGAGCATTAAGGGTTTAGGTTAAGGGTTTAGGGTTTAGGGTCTAGGGTCTAGGGTCTAGGGTCTAGGGTCTAGGGTCTAGGGTCTAGGGTCTAGACCTTAGGGTTTGGGTTTAAGGTCTAGCGTAGCATTATGGGTTTAGGGGTTTAGGGTTTAGGGTCTAGGGTTTAGGGTTTAGGGTTTAGGGTCTGGTGTTTAGGGATAAGGGCTCAGGGTTCAGAGTTTAGGGTGAAATAAAAAGTACACATTGGCCAGGCAGACAAAGACAAAGCCAAAACTCTGAAGAGCTGTGACATCGTAGACTTCCGGAGGATCTTCTGCCCTTTTTTTGAACCCAGACTCTGCCCTAAACCCTAAACCCTAACAAGGCTCGCGGGGACTTAGTCCTCGTAAGAAGCATATGACTCGGGGACAGAGAAGAGAGAAGACCCCACTCAAGGAAGACCCCACCTCCGAACCCAAGAACACCCCTTCAAGAGAAATGTGACGCCCCTGCGCAACCCCTCCCTGAATTCTCAACTCTAAAACCTAAACGTTGAAATCCCTACGCTTGGACCCCTGAACCCCCAAAAACCCCCTCAAAACGGTCAAGAACCAAATCTACAGCCCCGACCTTCCC